CAGCATAAGAACACAAATTATTGACATTCATAAAATATGGCTTGTACTCCTAACCTGACAGAAGAGACTGACACAAAAGAACCAGGAAAGTTTTAAAAGTTTTTTTGTGCCATCTTCTCTATTCTATGGACAATTGACCTACACTCCATCCCTATTCCTTGTATTTGCAACCTCTTCTCAGAAAAAGATCAAAACTAGGCAACAGACAAGAGTATACAGTGGCACGATAAGAACTCCATGAGACTGAGTTAATTTTTAACCTTGAGTGGACAAAGCTGGCACCTTAACAAATTTTTTTAATGCTGCACCTATCAAACTGGATCTTCACTCTTAACACCTGGCTTGAAACCTTTTAAAACCTTATGGAGTACTTTGCCAAACAGGACACATGCATCAGACCAGGGACACACATCTCTGACTTGGAGAATATTGTTTTGTCTCTGATATTCCTTCACATCAATAACTGTTGAACAATATGAACTCAAATGACCACTTTCTGCAAACAACACCAGAGGGATGACCTAGCACATATCTCACAAAGACTTGTCTCAGCCCTATCTCATGATGACAGAACTTTCCTGTTTGAGGAAGCAGTCAGTTTACAAAGATAAGAGCTCTCTTCTGATAACAGGAATTTTTCAAGTATCACTTTTAACAAACTTGTCTGCCCTTTTCCCTTAGGACACGCCAACCTCACCCCATGTCAGGAAAGCTACACCTTGTTTACTAACATCTATCAATTAACCCAACCATAACTCTCCCAGAGATTTGCTTCTCCATGCTGTTCCCATCCTATTTCACTCCCCCTGGGAGAAGGTACCCTTGCTGTCTCAATGCCTGTATGGTGAGCTGAAAAGACAATTCATTCAAAAGTGAAAAGGTTTTTTCCCCCTTCATGCTCTCATTCTCGTAAACAATTCTCCCTGTGTCCCAACCTGCCACAAAATCTGCTCTTTCTCTCTACAACTCATACAACCATTTAAATGCCTTACACATTCTTCAAGCCAGGCACATGACACTCAGGTGCTACTCTGAGAAGCACCGCGTAGATACCTACAGAAATAGAAACACCAGAGGACTTCCAGCTGCAGAAGAGCATTTGGTGATTCATGACACTCAACTCACTCGTTGTACAAGCTTGGAGACATCAAAAAATCTCTTATTTTTCAGGTCTCCAAAATTGGTCTCTGAGCCTTGTTAACTTCCTCATCAAGCTTGGCCTGACTAAAGTATCTCAGCCATGTCTGAGACTTTGGGATAGTTAAAACCAACAACATGGCTTTTAATGGGACCTCTCCTCAGCAGTACTTTTTACCTCTGTATCTACCGTTGCACACTGTCCCTCCAAGCTGAGGTTTCAGAAGTACTTGAAAAGGCTTCCTCCAGCTAATGGTTTTGGGAAGTCTGGCAGATGAGTGTTGAGTCTTGCCCACTTGTAGCACCTCATATGTCCTCCCTCCAGCCAGCAGCTCCCCAGAACAACTCCTGGCCTATACGCAGTTCCCAGTGAAATACCAACTTGCAACACTGAAAATTACAGGTTTTGACCACACGTGTAGACCAAATAGAGGGCGAGGCAAGCAAAAACCAGGCTGAGACAACCCAAACTGACAGGCCACTGAGTGAGTCATGCTGCCCAGAGTCAACAGAAAGAATTCTTGTTTTCCTTCCTCTGTAGCAGGAAGAATGGAGTATTTCCTCTCTCCCTCTTTTCTTGTGAGTTTTCCAGTGCAGGTCACCATTTTGGGGTGAAAGGGGAAATTTCAGAGTTACAAATCCCAAAGATTTAGAAGCATTTGGAGGAGATGCCTTTATGAGACTGTCATGCTGGGTGGCTGGGAGGAGACAGGCTCACAGATGACGCAGGCTTGGCCCAAGCCCAGTTATTTGGAATATCCTGATCCAACTAGTTTACTTTCAAAACCTAAACTGACTTGTAGCAGTAGCAAGACCTTTCCTGTCTTCATCCTTCTTCCCAGCAGGACTCATTCAGGGGTGAACTGTTTGTAAATATCTCCTGAGGTCACTATACCACCAACCAACACAGAACATCAACACGGGCAAAACTATTAAACCAAAGGAAGGGCATGCACGTCAAAGTCCTGTGCTTGCACTGAGATCCAGGCACTTTGCATAAAAAGTTCTGCTCTTTCTACCAGTGTTACAAACTATAAAACCTTCTTCAGAATACATTTGGGCAAAGGATTTTAAATTATTACTATTAGAGAACTTTTGGACACAAACAGCCACCTCTCCATGAACAAAATGGAATTACTACATCAAAATATGAACTAGACTAGATATAAGCTGTTTAAGTGTCCTTGCATTGGCAAAACCGAACAAATAAACACACAGTAATACAAAAAAAAAAAAATTAAAATGATAATGTATAACAATAAAAACACTTAGGGCTCTTTCAGTTCCCTTAAGTTTAATAATCTCAAAAACATGTAAAGAGTAATATAAGAGTTTGATGTTTACCTGACAAATAAGCAATAGTTAAATTTTTAAATGCGATCAATTAAGAAAAACAAATAATAATCTGGGTTAAAAAAATTTTCAGCATTACTTTTTCTTGGGTCTACTGCATAATTTCTGCAACTTTACAGACTACATCTTGACTAGTTTTCTCTCCCTAATTGTTTCTTTAGGTCTTGATCATGTACCAAACAAGTCTTAGAGGAAGCTAGCCTCCAGGATGTCAGGACAAATTCCTATTCCTTTTATGTAACCCTCTAGCAGTGCAGGAAGGGACTGCAAACATAATACACTCTTTCACTGTTATCAAATGGTGTACATAAGAGACTCCTTTACACACGAAAATCAGGCTCCATAACTAACAGTTCTTGAGAAGTAGTAGTGAAACCAGGTTTATAAGAAATGCTGTCAAATATATACACTACAGATATTACATATGTATACTACGACAAGCAGAGCAAAATTGACTATCAGTTGTTTTGCAACTTTTTAACTGCAGTGCAGTCTCCTAAATGTGAATGTTGGGAAACACTATTTGGAACGTCTAGAACATTTTTTAAATTTAAGCACTCCCATGAGGATCATTGGAAGACTCCAAGAAACTTCCCTGCACACCATAAAATCTGGAAAACATAAAACCCACTACTGCATGGCAGTAAGAGAGAACATGTTGCCATGTTACTGACCAGACAGAGAACATGTTTTACCCTGAAAGTTTCACCCTAGCTTGCCTTCATGAGCATACAAAGTCAGAGCTGGATAAAATCATCCACTTTCACTCTTCAGCATTAAAGAAACAAAGGCCTGGTACTTCTCCCTCTGTTTCAACTTCAAATTTAAGGCTTCAAGCTTGGTTTCAAGTGACAGGCAAAACCGGGAGAGTGAAGTCTACAGCTGACCAACTCTGTGTGCCAAACCAACCTTGCAAAACTCAGCAGCAGGCTGGAAGCAGTGACCCGGGCAGAAAGCAGGCCCTGCGCTCGGGCAGCTGCAGCACCAGGGCATTCACCAGCTTCCAGAACACGGCACAGCCCCTCCGCAGCCCGACTCACCACCGCAGCACCTCTGCCCGAGTGGAATCCAGTGTCCAAAGGCAGCAGACAACCATTTCACTAAAACCTTGGGTTTTTTCCTTCTCCTTGCTCACTCTGGATTACCAGGATCAACATAAGCCGGAGGAGGAGAGCCGGCTGCAAACCCGGCATCTGCTCTGGAGACAGCCCCAGCCGCCCCGTGTGCCAGCAAAACCCTCTCCCTGTCCATCCGCCGGAGATTTGCCGACACAAGGGCAAAGCGGGATTAGGGCCGCGGCAAATATTTGCCTGTCAGCACTTCACAGCGGGGTGAGGGCACGGACACGGGCGGGTGTTTGGTTTCCAGCAGGGCGACTCCGCTCCCCCTGCAGCTGCAGGAGGGCAGAAAACAGAGGGCAGTGCTGATGTCGGCCTAAAGTCAGGAACACGATGATACTTCAGGGGACTGGGTCTAAATGGGACGGGGACTCCCCGTTCCCGTGGGCTCCCCGTTCCCAGGGGCTCCCAGGCGATGACAGCCAGCATCCAGCCCACCCCGGGCTGCTGTGCCCCTGCCATGCCCGCGCTCAGTCCGCCGCTGAGCCGACCCGGGCACCCCCTAAGGCGCCCGACAACTCTCGCCCCGCCGGGGCTCCTCCCCTCGAAGCCGAGCTCGGCAAAGCAACAAGTGGAAGCCGGCGAAGTCACTTCCCCCTCTCCCCGTCAGCTCCCTCCGCCCGCCACCGCCTCCCCGCCCCCGGCCCCGCCGCGCTCCCTCGGGGGTGTGCGGGAGGGGTCTCTCGGTACCTGCGCGGCCGCCGCCGCCATGTCGCGCAGAGGCGGCCCGGGGTGAGGCTGCGGCGCTCCCCGCCCGACTACAACTCCCGTGAGGCCGCGGAGGGGCCGCCCCACACCCGGGGCGGTGTCTGGCTGCAGCGCCGGGGGGGCCCGGAGGTAGTGGAGACGGAGCGCTGCGGGGAAAGCTGAGGGGTTTGGAGCGGCTTTCGGGGAGAAATCGTCGCTTTCGGCTACAGCTGCAGCGTTGGGGTGGTTTCCTTTCGGGGAGGCTGGTGTTTCTGGTGTCCTCAAGCAAGGTGGCTTTTTACAGAATCACGGTCGTTAGGGTTGGGCTGGGCTCTGGAGACGCCTGGTCCAACCCCCTGCCAAGGCAGAGTCACCTCGAGCAGGTGACACAGGAACGCGTCCAGGTGGGTTTGGAGTGTCTCCAGAGAGGGAGACTCCATGGCCTCCCTGGGCAGCCTGTTCAGTGCTCTGCCACCCTCAATGCAAAATTCTTCCTCACCCTGAGGTGAAACTTCCCTGTGTTTTGGCTTATGGTCATTGCTCCTTGGCCTGTTGCTGGGCACCACTAAAAAAAAACCACAAAACCAAACTTAATAAATTTTTGTTGTTTGTTTTAATACTTTTAATATAGTACTGACTGTTGCTTTCAGGACTATTCTGTATGGAGGTTTTCCTTTTTTATATTTTTTTTTTCTTCTCTCATATGCACATCAGTTCATCAAGTTCTTTGTACAGACCACTGAGGCATGATAAATCTGGTATGCAGCAATTTCCTCTCTCTGCTCTTGCCAGTTTATGAAAGGAAAATCCTCATCACTGAACTGAAGGGATGAGAGGACATAGTCTCAAGCTGTGCCAGGAGGGGTTTAGGTTGGACATTAGGAGGAATTTCTTCACAAAAAGTGTGGTCAGACATTGGAGTAGGCTGGAGTCCATCCCTGGAGGTGTTTAAAGAAGGACTGGACGTGGCACTCAGTGCTGTGGAATGGTTGGTAGGGTGGTGTTTGTTTGGTCATGGGTTGGACTCAATCTCAAAGGTCCTTTCCAACCTAATTGATTCTGTGAAAGACATAGGGAGAGATTAGTATGTCCACAAAAAGTAAGAGACTGGCCGAAAGCGGGTGTGAAACTGGAGCAAGAGGTTGCTTCCTGAGACGAGGTGTGGGGGGTACAGGGGCACAGGGTTCCTAATACTCCCAGCACCAGGCTCCTACAAGCAGATTGTTTCCTCTTTTCAGATTTTATCCCTCCCATAATGCATATGATTCTCTGAAAGGACGTTTCTTTCCCAGTGCCTGAAATAGGCTATTCTTGTTTTGCACTTGAAGTGCAAACTTGAAAAACTTTCTTTGCTTTTTTTCCCCACATTTGTTTGGTAAATAAAAAATTTTAAATTAAATTTGTGAACAAGCAGTTTGTCATCAGTTCTTGCCACAATGCTTGTGACTTTCTTAGCGTCATAAACATCAGCTTAAGCTGAAGATCAAAGCATCAAATTTTCAAGAGTCTTGAGGAAATATATGTAGTATGTGGTCACTGGCACGTCTTCATCATCCTTCACGCATAAGAAGTGACTAAGTGACCTTAGGTTTTGGTGATTAATCTTCATCTAATGTGTGTTTTTTGAATAGCTCAAAAGCATTTTAGTGCCCTCAGAAATGCAGGTTATTTGCTTTTGGGATGCAGTGGGATGTCTTACACCATTTGGAAGCAACCTTCAGGCTTACTTTTCTTGGCACGCTTTGCTGAATCATGCAGCAGTGCCAGGAGCATCTGCTGAAAATGAATGTTTGTTTTCCATTGATCTCTAGGCAACTGGGTGTCTTCCAAAAGCAATCTCAGGGTCATCAGACACAAATAATGGTAGATCAAATCCCATATTATTTCACTGCAATGGATTTTATTTTACAAATTTTCAAAAAGTCTGTGTGAAATTCTACTTTTCCCTCAAAAATAATCAATTAGAATGGATTGTTCCTCTTTTTAATTACGTAGTAACAAGCTGCTTTCAGAAATATTTAGTTATTGATGTTAACTATTGAATTATTGCTTGTTTATGTACACATCAATGTCTTCAGGCAAAAACATGCTGTTTCCAACTAGGTCCATAGCTGACCAACACTTCCTTAGCATTTTCCATATTTCCTCATTTCATAGCAATAGAAGATGGTAGAGATCTTTCCTTTATGGAAGCTGCTCTAGAAAAACCCCACATTGTCTGCTCCACCAGTGTTGCTTTCCTGTATGTTTACTCTGATAAAATTTATTGATTAACTTAATCATAAACCATGGTGGGCTAGATGGGAATTATTTTCAGTTTTACTAACCAGGAAAGGCAATGTCAGTCATGCCACCAAAAGGAAATCCTTTGCTGGGAAATGCTTTCTCACTGGGTAGTAGAGGTAGCTAGCTCAATCAACTAAAACAACTAAATTGCTGCTTAGTGGTCTCCTGTGCACCACAGATGAGTGTTTTATGATGGGCTCTGAGTATGTGTCCATAGAATGTGTTCCTTCCATCTGTCTGACATTATTGTTATATGTGCTACATGTTCTCTTTAAATTTTTTGCAAGAGTTAATTGATGTTATGTAGTGACTGGAAGGGCTTTGCTTCCACTAGCACTTGAGGTATTTTATGAGGGTAGCTAACTCCCAGTTCCCCTGGTCACCCTCAATGGATTAACATACCATTGTAGCTAGACTGAACAACAGGCTGCTGTTCATCATTAGAAACCTTCTGTGACTGTGGGGAGAAAGCTTTGGAAGCACTTTTTGCATTTGTTTGCATTCTGTTTTGAATAGGTGGACAAATAATTGTCAGTAGGTATAAAGCTGGGAGTAGGCAACATAAAAAGAATGAACAAAGCTCTAGAAAACATCTAGAAGCAAATATGGCATTTTAGACAAAGTGGCTGAGGAGCTTGGAAGAATATTCTGCTAAATATCAGGTCAGCTTCCAAGACTGACTTCCACCAGAGCACATCAGATTTAGGAGCTATCACTAATCAGAACTGGCTGCATTTCACTCCTGTGTGGACAAAGTAGGTACCAAGAATTTTATCTGGTTTGGTGCTGGTTCAACTGCACCAGCAACAATAAGACATAGACTCCAGACTGTGCAGTTTAAATGAAACAGAGTCTTTTATATACATCTATATGGGTGGCACAGGGATAAAGAGCTTTTTTTTCTTCTCTTTGTTGGAAGAAAGCAGCATTGTTTAGAGGAATGAAACAAACTGAAATATGTTTTAGTTCCGTTACCTCAGCAGTTCCTGAGTATGGAGAGAGTACTCCAGTCCTCACACTTTTCTGTGTCCTTCTCAGTATTTTGCTTCTGTGGATGAGTAAGGGCATTTTCAGCTGCAGAGTAACCATAAGGAGAAGATAAAGTAGAATTTTATTTATGATTACAATAAACTCAATATTTCAAAACATTGAGAATATTAAGGTTTCCTGAATCTCAGTGAAAACACTTCTGGCACTAAAGAAGTACAGGCTATGCTTTGCCAAAATTGCACACATTTATGAATCTGAGTCTTGCTCTGATTATGATCAGAAGCAAAAGTATCATTGATTTTAGTGGAAACAGGGCCTTTCCTTAAACATGGAGTTAGAGGTCAGCTTTGCCAGAAAAGATCTTGGATTTCGAGTGGACAAAAACTTGAACACAACACAGGCATATGGCCTTGCATCAGTGAGGACTAACTGTTTATGGGCCTGTGCTGCCATCAGGCTGAGGGAAACCTTTATTCCCCTCTGCCTGACATCCTCGTGGGCACTGAGAATGTCTCAGTACTGCAGGTCTCATGATCTGCAGTAGAGTATCTAGTTTTGGGGCCACCAATGTAAGAGATATTGACTGACTGAAGTCAGCCCTATGAAGGATCACCAAGATGGACAGGGAGTGGGAGCACATGGCATATGAGAACACTAAATTCACTGGGATATGTTTAGCCCCAGGAAAAAACAAGATTTAGGGGAGATCTGATGGCTCTTTTCCACTCTCTAATGTGAAGACATGGAGAAGGCAAGGAAAAAGCAACATTGCCAGGATGCAGCAAAAGAATTTTTGTTTGTGTGGAAGCAAAAACATCCACCATAAGAGTTACTAAGCATTGTAACAAGGACTCAGAGGAATTATGGAGTCCCTGTTCTTGCAGATTATCAGTTTGACCAGATAAAACCCTGAGTGACCTTGTCTGATCAGGTAGATAAAACTTCTGTGAGCAGCATGGAGTAGTGGATCACCTCCAGAATTCTCTTCCATGATAAATTAACCTATGACAATTCACAATTACTTCTTCAATTGAAAATACCTTAATAGGTGGTTGTCAGAGGCTGAGAACAATAGTCACAGGGTAGAATTCCATTGGATTTCTGAATGTTTATTAATACTACTTCATAATATTAGGAGGCAGCATATCTACATTCTGAGTTACTTTGGTTATGGCAGCAATACAGTTGGGTAATATCAAGAATTATTTTTACATACTCAGATACACTGTAATAAAATAACAAAATATGCTGAAGTCACAAACAGATTTAAATAATTTGCTAAAACCTGGGCAGAGCAGGATCATTTCAGACTTTGTGCTTCTATTGTAATTCTCAGCTTTGTTTTAGACAGATGTAAAATATATTAACAGTAATTATTTCACAGTCGTGGGCTCCAGGACAATGAGTTGAATGACAGCTTGTTGAAATTATGTAGGTGCATGAGACCTTCTTGGTACTCATGGTCACAGTATGTTACTCTTGTGGAGATTTGCTGGTAACAATTAAGTGGTCCTGGCTTGCCAGAATAGAAGAAATTGGACTAATTTAAACTTCAATAAGTTATTTAATAATTCAATAATATTGAATAATTCAATTCAATAATTCAATAATTGACAGTATTCAGTTCCCAGCCCAAAGTCTCTTGAAGCCACATTAATTTCAAATGTTTCTTGTCAGGAAGCAATAGCCAAAGGCTGGTCTCCACCACAGCCAGAAAAAATGACAACATCTATCTTTCCATGGTTTGTTTGAACACAAGTGAATTGGAACCCTGTAGAATTAATGAGTCTCCTTTTTAAATTTTTTACATTATAGGCAGTTGCTGTAGTAAGTGAGATACCAGGACTGATCTGTTCAGAAAGGTGCATTTGATGGTAAGGGACATGATGTGAACACTTTGTTCTGGTAACTAAACCAAAGCGCAGATTAAAAACTATGTACAAGCCCTAGGAAGACTGTATGGGTCTGTGTCATGTATGTTCACCCCATTCTTATGCTTTTCCTTAGGTACTCTTGCTTCTGGGTATAATCAGAAATAGGATGTTGTATTATGGACCTGTCTGAGTTTCTCCTTTTTGTAAACTACAGAGCAGCTGTGAAGAATCTGTTGTCTGCTCCAGATAATCTTTGAAGGTCAAATGAAATAATGTAGAAACAGCATAGACATTTTAAGACAGACGCCTGAAAAGCCAAATTGTGGCTTAGAACCATTGCTAAACCATTGCTTGGTGTCGCTGCAAAACTACTTTGTCTTTCTATATAAATGCTGGGAAATTAAATATCTTGCTTTGTAGGGACTTTGTCATTCAGCTACACTGGAGTAGGTACTATATATTACACTGCCTGGGGTTAAAAATACCTATTGACCTAGAATGAAGAAGGGTGTCAGTTTATCTTAAAAAAAAACAACCCAAAAGAAAACCCCAAACATCAATTTTACAAATAAAGCAAGCCATTTTTATCCTGCTATTTTAAAAGTCATTTGTTCTTGCACTATAACCTATTTATAAGTTTAAGTGTTCTCAGCACCATGGCAAAGGGAGAAAAGGAGGGAAAAGAGCAATTAGAGGCAAATAGGCTCCCGCTCTGTTCAGGAGATAAGCTATAGATCTGCTGCAGTCATCTGAAATTATATTCAAAGTCTGGAAGAATCCTGTGGCAAAGAGCAGTAACAGAAGGAAAACTGATATCCTAGTGATGTATCTGTTTAGCATCTGTGTTCCTTCTAGGGCTCTCCTAAAGTTTCCATTTCAGACCCAAAAGACTACTTTTACACAAATACAGTTTTATATATATTCATCTATCGAAAGATAAAATAACATTTGCCCTGAGAACTTCAGAAACTGTAAGGTTTTGCAGCTATTGTCAGAACAGTTAATCCAGAGATATCACCCCCCACAAAAAAAAAAAAAAAAGACCAATGAGTAACCTGAAAAACATTGAAAGGCATTAAAATTTACAAAAATACCTATGTGTCTATTGTTATATAAAATCCAAGTATTTTAAGTCAGGTAAGAAAAAGATATGCAACAACTTTTATGTTAAAACCTATGTTTTAATGCCCAAAGAAAAAAGCATTTTCTTTAATTTCAAAAGAGAGTATAAGTGAGAGAAAATCCATCTCACTGTTCAAAAAATTGTGAACTTAAGACTTTCAGGCCAGTAAAGTAATTTCTTGGCATTCTCATCTCTTCATCCCACTGCAAATACATTTTGTTATCTTCCATACACATCATGTTTGCAAAGAGCAAATTTGTGTGTCTTTCTCAGGGAATTGCCTCTAAGAGTTAGAGGCTATCCATAGCACACAAAGTCTGAAAGTTCATTCAGGATTAATCTCTAATAGTTAGGTCTTGCTTCAGTAGAGGGATATCCCTTCATTCTGGAATTTGCCTTCATAGCCGATGCTGGGGCTGGGAGGTTGACCATTGCTGCAGTGTAAACACAGACTGCATAACTGTGCCAAATGCCTCTTGAACTTGACTCCAACAAATACATAGAGCACAGGGTTGAGGCAGCAGTGGGAGAAAGCAATTTTACGGCTGATGTGAAAGGCAAGGTTGGAATCTTTCACATACTGACAAGTAGGTGGTGGAAAAGTGGTCAGGAAGCTGAGGATGTTGTAGGGTGCCCAGCACAGGAAAAAAGCCACCACAATAATGAGGATGAGTCTCACAGTTCTGTGCTTTCTGCGAGATCTTGCTCTAAGCAGGATTATGAGTATCTTGAAGTAACAGAATATGATGACTCCAAAGGAAAACAGGAAGAGTACATTTCTCACATAAATGTCCACCTTTTTCCAATTCCCATCGGCATAATCACAGAACCTGTGGTCTTCCAAGTCTTCTTGCACTGTGGTGTGAATCACCTCAGGAACCACAATTAAGATGCTAACAGTCCAAACAGCCAAGGACACCAGAACACCACAGCACTGCGTCTGGGATCTCAGAGTTGAAAGGGGGTTCACTACAAACAAGTACCTCAGGATAGTCATGAGAGTCAAAAAGAAAACACCGCTGTAGTAGCCAATGGAGAAAATAGCATTTGATGCTTTGCAAAGGAACTCACCAAAAATCCATCCAAAGGACTGGTCCACTACCCAAAAAGGCAGCATGCAGGAGAAGACTAAATCAGAGATACAGAGATTCATGATGAAGATGTTTGTTAAAGATGTAAGGTTTTCATATTTCAATAGGATCCATAACACCAAAGTGTTTCCTAGCAGACTGAGGAAAAATACCAGAATGTAGAGGACAGCAGTGAGATAGATGTTAAATGTGAAATAGTCACCCATTTCACAGACGTTGGTTTCATGAGGGTATTCATATGAGGAATTATCATCTAAATAGTAGTCTTCATCCATTTTTCTGGCAAATCTTGTGCTGTTCTCCAGCAGCTACTTCAAAGGACTGCAAAAAATCAAGTGAAATCTTTTGTGAAAATCAACTCAATAACTAAACTCCCACTGTGGAGGCTTCTGTTTTAAGACAGAAAAAGCAGCAGTGAAACTAGTAATTTGGGGAGACAAAGGACTCATTTCTTCTTATGACTAGAACATGAACAGGTAGATACCAAAGAACTCAAATACATAAGTCAGAAATTCAGTTTGTGAACCAAAATGTTTGGTGACAACTTTCAATTACTGAATTTCTACTATATGAATGTGCATTGTTTTTTTGATGTAAATGTCTCAGGTGCCAAGACTTTCAAATATGCTAGTGTTTTTTCAGTTTTCTGGAGTGGTATCCAACTCCTAAGCACTTCACTGTATAGATGATTCTTGGTCACTGAAGTTCTGCAGTGCATAAACTTAAAAAGCTGATCTGTACCAGTAGCAAAAACTGTAAGCACTAAGAGCAGGAAAAGTCAGGTTTCTTACAGATTTTTATCTTGAGGTTTGTTGATATCTAAACATCTCGAAGCTGTGGCAGAAGCACCATCATGCTGGGTGCTCTGTGCACCTCTGTGGCCTGATGATTCTCAGGGATGCAGAGATCACATCACAGTACTTTTCTGATAGTGCTGCCTCTCCATCTGTATGCAGGCAGGAATTTATTCCCAGGTGGATGGTGAGTTGAAACTGGCCAACAGGATCAAAAGTTAGTGGGAAGGTGGCATACAATTAAGTCAGAGTAGCCTAATTTCTTTATGAAAATTAGCTTAAAAATAGGCACAGAAAAATCAGTAATGCCTTTGACCAATGGTTTAAAGTCTAAATTCACTTTATCCTAGAAGAAGGCTTATCTGTAATACCATGTTTTGATCTTGCTTTGACTGAAGCCAGTGAGAGACCTGCCACCAAGTTCCTTCAAAGTACAAAGAAACCCCACAGCTCAGGCCAAAATTGTGCTGGTGACATTTTCCTTTTTTAATTAGTGAAGGAAGATTCTGTCTTCTATAGCCAGACAAAGACATGCTGCCTTTGGAGGACAGGAGAGCTATGTCTACACTAGGAAAGCATGTCAGGGAGCACTCCTGGCTGCCAGAATTTAACGCCATCCATGGGAGTAAGTGGTTCAGGTCAGCCAGAACATGACACAGGCAGCACAGGACAGGGACCATCTATCCAGTGTGTTATGATCAGCAAGTTTTGGAGGCAAGGGATGTGTAGGATTCAGTACTGTGACAGCAAGTGGCCCTGGAACATTTACCACCAGAGTCACAGCTCTAACTGGAAAGATATTTGTAGCCCTCAGTTTGTACAATGCTTAAATTTTCAGCCATGCAGGGTAAGTCCTTGCAAAGGCAGTAGCTTTTACATGATAGTACAGACAACACTTCAGCAATGAATAGTTTAGATTGAGGTCCTGACCATCGTTGTGTCCTATTTTAGCTCAGGCTAGGGTATGCTGCTCCTAAGCAGTTCCTTCCTTCCTAAGGAAGCAGAGAAGCCTCTTTGTGAATAATCAAGGTTCTCCGGAGATGAGAGGACAGTCCTAACCTGTGTCTTCACCACTTACTCTCTCCTTTCATGCTGACCACTCGGTGACAGCAAGTCCCATGGCAGGTCTGCCCACAGGCCAGGAGCTTTACAGCCAGCAGGACTGCTCTTGGGCTGCTCCTGATCTCTGCCACAATTGCTGCTGGCCTCTGATACAGGAACCTTCTCACAAAGATCTCAGCCCTGATCGCTGCCTCTGCCTGGGAAGTGTTCTGACCTGCACATGCCCTGTCCCTCATCACATCATGCCATTCTGCTCTTCACATCTTTGCTGCAGGGTAGGCAGTGGTTAGAGAGCAGGTATCTGCTGGGGAGCTTTGCTCACCCTCCTGCTTGCTGTCAGGAGCTAAGCAATACTTGCAAGGCAGAAAGCACCATTTTACAAAGGTGTTTTGAGATTACATCAGATAACAGTTAACTGCCAAAATAAAGAAGTGTACCAACACATCTATTTTCTTCACAGTTCAAATGATAGGAGATGGTAAATAGTTTCTATTTTTCTCCATCTTCCCCAAGGACACTGATGCTGAGTGTGCAGGCACTTGATTCATGCTGGCAGACAGCTGTGATTGGAAGCCCTGTTAGTAACTTGCTATTTCCGTCTCCAAATTCCCTTATGCCATGGCATCTTACCCACCTGACCCAAAAGGTCTTGCACTTTGGGAGGAGCCAGAGGAATGCTTGGTTACATGAGAACAGGTGTCCTCTCTGTGATTTTGTGTCCAGCATTTCCAGAGAATTTAGGAAAATGCTTCTGTGAGGTAGCTTGTTCCTGGTTGATTTTTAATGCTGCAAAGTTAGCTCTTGGATAATGCCACATTTCACAAAACAAGTTCATTCATCTTATGCCATCTTACCTGGTGCAGGCTCCATGGAATTGCAGATGGAGGCTCCAGCCTACAAAGCATCAGACCTTGTGGATGGTTGAGCACGATTATATGTTCTGATATTATGTTTCTACCAGCTGAGAAAGCCCTCCATCAGGTCAGTGATGGTAAAGAGAACCTTGCAGGAACCTAAGGCACTTAGATATTTTTCTTTTTATCTCAAAACCCCTTAAATCAAAACCTGTATTTTTGTTCTACTGTATTTTATCTTCCCCATTTCAACTCTACAAGTAAGAAAAGCTGTGTATGGATTTTCAGTTAAGATATATGCAAAGGAGATAAAAAATTATGTGATTGCATCAACAGGTAAAAAATATGTCAGTGTCACACAAGAAAACAAATCATGCAACAGTTTTCAATGTATATATAATGGCACAAGTGAGAGCAGAAGTTGGTTGAAAGATGGAAATTACCTTAATTTCAGTTGTCAGGACAAATAGTAATAGAGAAACACATCATACAGTTTATAGTCATTCCTGCCCTTCTGAAGAGCACTCAGCAAAGCATTCAACATTCATTTCACTTTTGTCCAGAAATCTGCTTCTCCAGAAGCCTTCATTTTCTAGCAGGGCTGTGCTTTGTCTTGGAGCATCATATTAAAAATTCTAATACAGAAATGGGGAAATGATACTATGAGTGACATCCAGTTCAATTTTCTTTTTCTCTGAAAATTCAGTTTGACTTCTGTCAGATGAAGTTACATATTATTCATCAGTTTATTTCATTTTCAAACTGAGCATTTGAATGAGTGGCAGGGAGGAGTTGTCTGCTCACTTTGCAGTCAGTGGAGGGAGAGAGAGCCACTGGCAGGAGCCACATCAGCCCCCACTCTGTACTCTACCAGTCTCCTCCCCAGGCAGAGGCAGCTGAGACAGACCCCTTTAAGAAGATTCCTGGCATTTACACGACAAGCTGAGGTTAATCTCATCTTAACTGGAAAAGTCAAGGGGAGTGCAGTAGAGAGAAGCCCCCTACCATAAGGCATGCACTGATGGAATTTTTTTATTCACTTTATTCAAAAAGCCTCTGGACTTCACAGCTGGTTCTCCATGTTTCTCAGGGGGAAAAAAATGAAAAAAAATCAGATGTTTTTGCAGACTGGTTCACAAAGGCAACAAGCATTGACACATAAAATAATTTTCTGTTCCCCTAAACTAAATTTATCTGGTAGCTGCTTCCCTAGCCAATCTCTTGTTCCAGACTGAGATAAGAAGAAAAAAATCCCAAATGTGACCTTTTCTGGCAAGAAAAGTCTTTAGTTTTTCAAATAGGTTTATGGAGCAGGCATTTAATTTAAGGAAATTAAAACACAATAAATAACATTTCTCCTTCCCTAACTATGACTGGTATCTGTGTCTTGGAGCACAGCCTCGGAGTCACATGTAGGAGATGGACAGGAAAGTCCTGGAAGTCATGACTGGCAGGTAGACTTGGTCCAAAACACAAGAGTACCCCGGACAATGTGGTCTGTGCTGGTAGATGAACTTTTTGTCTGCCTTAGAGGAAATTTGCACATGGTAACAAACTCTTCCAGGACATGGATAAAGCAAAAGGTCAAGGTAAAATGAAAAGTCAGTAGGAATTCCCTTGTCCAATTCAGTTTTGCAAAGCCTCAAGAAATCCATCTCATCAAGGAATCTCTTACCCAACTTTTAAGGCAAAACGTTCTGTTGGGTAGGGATCATTTTCTGAGACCAATGCTCCCACTTTTGCCCTATGGGTTTCACAAGACAGGTACAACACTCACAGTGAGCCCAGAATTTTGGTGGCCTCCTATTCCCCGTGAGCTCTGCCTCTCAGTCCTGACCATCAGCCCTGTGATAACAACAATCCATGGAAGCAGAAACATCCCAAATGAGGACTCTGGAACCCATCCTGAAAAACACACTTGAGTTCAAATTTCCATAATAAGTTGGCAGCCCACAGCTTGGACAGGTGCAGCCTTTGCTGGGTTAAGAACTGGCTGGATGGCCGAGCCCAGAGAGTCACGGTGAATGGTGCCACATCCAGCCACTAGTGGTGTCCCCCAGGGAGCCGTGCTGGACCCAGTGCTATTTAATATCTTTATTCATGATCTGGGTGAGGGGATTCAGTCCACTATTAGCAAATTTGTTTTATTGTGCTAAGGCTGGTCAGAAAGGACGTGGTGCTGGCAGCTGGGCAGCAGCTGGGCAGCAGCTGTCCAACAGAGCACAGGCAGGAGCAACCTTGGCCAAAGAGGTTTGTGTGGAAGTGGCGGTGGTTGGTATCCTGCCTGTGGTTTCCTGCAACAGGCTTTGTGTCAGCAGGATTGTAGCTCTGGGTATTCTCTATTGTCCCCTAGGGCAAGGGCAAGGAGAAATCCAGCCCCTTATTTTTTGTGGGATGGTGCAAAGGAGAGCACCTCTCCCTGCTTGCAGCCAGGCAAGGTTTGGCTATGGTTATCCTGGTAGTTCATGCAGGGATGGGATGAGTAAGCAGCTCTGCAGGATGATAACAAGTAGTCCTTTTGGTAATAGTTGGCTGTGAGGAAACAGAAAACAAGAGCTTTTTGGGTTTTTTTGAGTGGAGAAATTGTCGATTTGTTTCTACAGTGTAGACGAGTGCAAGTTTAAATGCACTTCTTGCAAGCAAAGAGCGTGTATTGATCTCTGTGTCTGACATGTAATTCTGATTTTTCTTAATAGCAGCACTCCTGCCAGGCCCAGAACACCAGCCCATTTCTCTTTGCCAGGCAGCAGTGACATGGGATATCACTTTCCCATCTGCTCCATAGAGAACATAAATGCTCCATTATTTGCCCATGAAAAAGAGCATCACTTTGTTTCTTAGTAGCTGTGTTTTTTGGCCGTTGAAACCAAGCAAAACCACTTCTTATTTTTCTTGCTAAAGCAGAACATATCTGCAGGTTTCTGCTGCCAGCAAAATGTTGACCCCTCCCTGTCTCTGTGTGCAGATGTACACATACCCTCCTGACAATATACTGGAAGATGGGGCTGTCCCTGAGAGATCTTACCAGCCACTGCACTATATTTAAATAGCAATCTTAGACCTGAATAAGGACTCTGTTAAGTAAAATGTGTGTAAAGAAGCTGATTCTATTCCCTCAGAGGTTCTTATAGACAAAAAACAAAGATGATTATTAAGACAAAGGAGCACATCACAGTTTTGGGAGAAATAACCTCATGTCTTTCTCTAAAGCTTAGCAAAATTCAAGCCTCTACACAAAGTTTATGAACTCATTTTTATGCCTCAGAGACCACATGAACAGCAGGGTTGTATTTTTCCACAAAATTCCATTCTACTGGTGTATTTAATCTATATTACCGCTTTTTTTTTTTTTTTTTTCCCCAAGAGGATTATAAGCCATATGTCTAAAGAATTTGTGTACAACATTTTGGGTGGTATTTCCAGTCTTCCTGCTGGGCCCAGTGCTGCAGGAATGATGCTGAAACAGATGGAAACTCTGCTGACAGCCATTGATGTGACCAGTATGCCCTGCTCCTGATGCTCCTGACTGCAGGCTTAGGATATGGTCTGGGGAGAGATGATGGGGGGGCAGCCTCAGTATCTGTGCGTGCAGGCAGAGGGAGGTGTGTTTTCTGGGGAGATGGATGAGCAGTGTTGCTGCAAGGAGCCCAGCTTTGTCACAGAGTCTGTCCTTGTCCCTGGCAGTGCGGGCACAACCTGTTTTTGTTGAGTATTAAATGGGCTCACTCATATCACACCATTCCAAGTCATGAAGCCATTCTGATGCTGAAGTCCCAGGGACTTGCAAGGCTTTAGCCAAATGGAGAAAGAAAAGAGAGGAAATCCTACCCACTGAGTCATGCTTGCACAAAGTGAAAGGCTGGGCGTAGTGTAAGGAAGCAAACAATACAGAATCATAGAATGTTAAGGGGTAGGAAGGGACCTTAAAGATCATCTAGTCCCAACCCTTCTGCCTCAGGCAGGGACACTTCCCACTAGACCAGGTTGCTCAATGCCCCATCCAACCTGGCTTTGAACATTGCCAGGATTGGGGCATCCACAACATCCCTGGGCAACCTGTGCCAGAGTCTCATCCCTCTCAGAGTAAAAATTTTCTTCCCAATATCTAACCTAAATTTCCCCTCTTTCAATCTGTCTCCATTGTACTCCCTCTCCCATCACTGCAGTTCCCGATGAAGAGTCCCTCTCTGGTTTCCCTGTAGGCCCCCAGCAGATACTGAAAGGCTGCTATGAGGTCTCCACACAACCTTCTTTTCTCCAGGCTGAACAGCCCCAACTTTCTCAGCCTGTCTTCCTGAAACAGGTACTCCAGTCTCCTTATCAATTTTGTGGCCTCATCTGGACTTGTTCCAACATTTCCATGTCCTTCTTTTGTCAGGGACACAAGAACTGTACTCAGCACGCCAGGTGGGGCATCACAAGAGCAGAGCAGAGGAAGAGAATCACCTTTTTTGACCTGCTGGCCACACTCCTTTTGATGCAGCCCAGGATTCATTTGGCTTTCTGGGCTGTGAGTACACACTGTTGGCTCATGTTGAGTTTTTCATCAGCCATCACAGAACTGTATATGTCACTGCTGTCTTCTCAGCGCTTTCTAATAATTTTTTTTTTTTTTTTGCTTTCCCTTCATCACATCTCTTACGCTTTGCAGAACATCAGAGAGTTTGATCTTGCCTTATTCACCCCACTTTTACTCACTGGCATCAGCTACTCCCTGCCCTGATCCTGGATGGCTCCTTGACATGCAAACCCAGCTGTATGCTTCCACTGCTCCCAAAGGGCTGCCCTGACCGGGCTGGGAGCCCTTGCACGCTCCCCCAGTGTGGAACTCAGCTGAGGCAGCCTTTTCATGTGGATGCAAAAGCAAGACTGAAGAACAAAGGGCTGCAGCCAGGTCAATGTATGAAGCATCTCTGTATCCCCCTCTCCTCTGGCTGTATGTTGGTCCCTCCTCTGATGGTGTGAATTGCTACCTGATCTCTTAAATGGACATGCTGCATGAAGAATAAATTAAGATACTCATGAAAAATAAAACCTGATTTACAAGCAGCCTCCTGTTGCCAGAGAGGTAATGTGTCTCAACATGAGGCAAGTGACAGTATGACACTTGCTTATAACTAGGAAAAATTTGTTGGCT